CCCCTGGGGGGGGCCCCCTGGTGCTGAGCCGCTTGCTGTTGCTACTGTACCCTTTAGTAATCGTACGTGGGAGCTGGTGCCGGATGATGAGGGTTTGTTTGCTGCTCCTCTTCCTTGCTTCTCTTCTCACTGGCCGCAGTGTCAAGACCCGCTGCTGCAGCAGCAGCAGCAGCAGCAGCAGCAAGTGCAGCAGCAGCAGCAGTTTGTTCCTCTTTCGATGCCCGGGTTGACAGAAGAGGCGAAGGTGCCGTCCTTTGCTTCGGACGTGGTGTTGTCTCTCTCTTTCCCGGGCTGCTGCAGCAGCAGCAGCAGCAGCAGCAACTGCAGCAGCAGCAGCAGCAGCAGTGGTTACCCTTCTGTATCTATGTTTTCTCTGCTGCTGTTTGGGGCTGAAGGCCGTCTGGTTGCTCGCAGCAGCAGGCCGTTGCTGCACGCATGCAGCAGCAGCTGTTCTGTATGGTCATCGTTTATATCTTTTCTTTCTATCAGCAGCAGCAACACACAACGTATAGGGGGGGCCCCCCATGGGGGCCCCTCAATGGGGGCCCCCCCCTCAGCAAGAAGATATAATAATTTATATACAGCAACAGCCACGCAGGGTGCAGCACGCAGCTGGGGTGTATACGCAGACACCCGAGCAGCAAGCGCCAGGCGAAGGGTTTCAGCTGTTGCCTGAGCTTTCTTTTTCTTTTTTTTTATTTTTATATTTACTCTAATTTATTTATATAGAATGTATTTTATATATTGTATAGACTATAATCATAAATAATAATTGTAAGCTGCAGCAGCAGCAGCAGCAGCTGCTGCTGCTGCTATTGCTATCACGCCAGCAACAATACACCAAACAACCCTAAACCCTAAACCCTAAACCCTAAACCCTAAACCCCAAAGCAGCGACACAAACAAAACCCTAAAACCCTTTCTTCAGTTCGCGGCAACAGCAAACAGCCTCCATCAAATGAACACCGCAGCAACCACCAGGGGCCCCCAGGGGGGCCCCCCAGGAGGGCATAGCAGCTGTCAGGGTGCCCCCCTGGGGGCCCCCTGGGGGCCCCCTTGGGGGGCCCCCTGGGGGCCCCCAGGAGGCCGCAGCAACCCTCAGGGTCCCCCCGCTGGGGGGCCCCCTCCCGCTATGCTGTTATCTCCTCCGCCGATGGTAGGGACTGCACCGCCAGCAAAAGAGCTAGGGTTTAGGGTTTAGGGTTTAGGGCTTAGGGTTTGGGGTTTAGCCAACGCGGATCTCGGGGTCGTTGAGATAATCATGATAAACCAACTTAGCGTCCTCAGGGACCCCTACAAAGAAAACACAAAACACTCAAACCCTAAACCCTTGAAAACCCTAAACCCTAAACCCTAATGCGTAAACCCTAAACCCTAATGTGCAAAACCCAAACCCTAAAAATGTATCCTAGGGTTCAGGCCGTAAACCCTCAACCCTACGGTTCATACCCGAAACCCTAAACCCTAAACCCTACTAAGCCCTACAATTGAGGCCGTAAACCCTAATCCCTTGACCCCCAAACCCTAAACCCTAAACCCTAAACCCTAAACCCTAAACCCTAAACCCTCGACTTGCCTTTTCTGGTGAAATATTTGAAGGCCCGCTGATATATTCGCGTTTTTTTTAGTTCTTCAAAAGACAACTTCTCCAGCGTCAAATCCTCGCTGTCTGTACACCCCACAGCAGCAGCAGCAGCAGCAGCAGCAGCAGCAGCAGCAGCAACACCATCAGCAGCAGCAGCGGTAGTAGCAGCAGTAGCAGCAGTAGCAGCAGCACGACCAGCAGCAGCAGCAGCACAAACAGCAGCAGCACAACGAGCAAGAGCAGCAGCAGCAACAGCAGCAACAGCACCACGACCAGCAGCAGCAGCACAACAAACACCAGCAGCAGCAGCAGCAGCAGCAACAGCAGCAACAGCAGCACAACCAGCAGCAGCAGCACAACTAACACCACCAGCAGCAACAGCAGCACAACCAGCAGCAGCACCACAACTAA